CTGGTTCTCGCGTCTGGACGTCGTTCATCGAGTGCGTGTCCGCCGCGGGCACCTTCCTACCTCCTCTCGTCATTTTCAAAGGGAAGTCCGTCCAGCAGCAATGGTTCCCGGAAGATCTCAGTCTTTTTAGCGACTGGCAGTTCACTGCGACGAAGAACGGCTGGACTTCGGACCAGACTGCGGTGGAATGGCTCGAGAAGATGTTCATTTCGAGAACCCAGCCGTCCGATCCTTCGGAGCGAAGACTGCTGGTATTAGACGGCCACGAGAGTCACGAGACAGTGGAGTTCATGTATCTATGCTACCAGCATAAGATCCATCTTCTTTTTCTACCTCCTCATACCTCTCATGTGTTGCAACCGCTCGATTTGTCTGTCTTCTCCCCTCTGAAGCACTACTACCGCAAGCAGGTCGGATTTCTCAGCCTCTTGACCGATTCGAGCGCGGTCGGCAAGCAAAACTTTCTTTCCTGCTATCAGAAAGCGCGCGAGCAAGCACTTACGGCGTCAAACATCAAGGGTGGGTGGAAAGCGACGGGTTTGTGGCCGGTGTCGGTGGCAAAGCCACTTTTGAGCCCTCTCCTGCTGGAGAACAGCAACAAGGGCAAGAAGGATGCGAAGAAAGCGCCCGATGCCTTCAGGAGCCCTTTTTCTACGCCGGGATGGCAATCAGACGCATCGCAGATTGCGTGGTCGACTCCGAGGCGCCCTCAAGATCTGAAGGTGCAAGTGCTTCAATTCAACCAGCTCGACGACGACGTGCCCACGAAGCGGCTGCTGTTCAGGAAGATTACGAAGGGGTTTGATGAAAAGGACGGCCTCTTGGCAAAAGCTCAATTACAGATTCAAGCGCTGGAAACACAATTGGCGGCCGTAAAGCCAAAGAAGAGGAAGAGGGTGGAAACGAGCCCGAATTCGAGGTTCGCCGACGTTGAGGCAGTGCGGCGGGCGCAGGCGGAGGTCAATGCAGCTGAGAATGGAGACCCTGATAGAACTGAAGATGAACTTTCAGAAATTGGTGACGATTGTATCGTAGTGGGTGTTGGTAGGCAGTGACAGGCGATTGAATTGGTCTTCGTGAAAACCGATCACTTTTTTTTGGGCGGCCGATAACAGGGGGTGGCCGGGATCTATGTGCAGGGACTTAGTGGCTACAGCTGTGGTGGATGCTGCTACCGGACGATAAACCGCAATAACATAGTCCAGCATGCTAGTGGATGCGGTGGTACTAGCGAGGAATCTGGACGTAAACGCTGGGAGGCGGTATTATTGCAAACATTTTCGAGAGGTCGCTTCGCGCGATACTGGATAGTGTCGGAGTAGGGGTCTACGTGGATCCATATGCAGCTTGTGGAGAGGTGCTGCGGGTACGCCCACTACTAGCAGGCCGAGAGCGGTCTGTCGTCTTGTGGAATTTGGATCTGGAACGGTTCCCTCGTATACATCATTCGACACCACAAAGCAAAGCGACAGACCAACCGGGAATTCTATGTCGTCCGCTTTTTACCTGTGCGATTGGGCATTGTGGTGTTCCAGTACCTGGTTTGCGTGCGTCGGCTTGCTTGTCTGCTCCGGCGGGAACGACTCGGTGAGTACGAAGGTAGCTGTTTCATGCAGCGAAATCGATTCTTGTTTCAGTCGGATGAGAAGGTATGGGAGCCATCGCGCCTGGCAATCATCCTGCAGCAAGCCACATTGGAAGTCTGGGGCGTCAAGGTCCATGCCCAGCTTTATCGCCAGGTAGCCATCGGTATCACGGAGAAACACATTCGCGAGGTACAGGTGCCTTTCAATCGGTACGATGACTCGACCGCGCATGCGGACTTGAACGTCGTTTTTGCGTGGCAAAGCGGCCATCGTCCCTTGCAACGGGGAATCACTTACGGCCTTGACGGCGCCTTCCCTCACCAACTTCAGCCCGCATTGCTACGTGCCTATGAGTGGGCTTCGGTTAAATGGCACGAATTCATTCGCCAGCCTAGCAAATCACTGCCGAAAGTCCGCAATCCGCTCGGCGCCGTTGACCCGAACGCGGCATCCCGGAAAAGACCTGCGCTGCTTGCTCTAGAGCATGAGCTGTCGACCCCGGATGGAAAGAGTTCTGCAAAGCGGCGCAAGACACACGCGACCGACATGCTATCATCACAGCAGCCGAACTCAATCACTCGACAGAGACAAGCCGACGCCTTTTACGGCAATACCTGGGACGATCTTCGCACGCGAGGCGATGTGCCAGGGTTCCGTGAGAAAATGGGAGACTTGTTATGCATACTGCCCGAACATTGCATCCTGCTTTGCCTCATCTGCAGGGCGGGCCTCAAACCGGGGAAAGGTGTTGAAACGCACTTTAGGAGACGCCATGGTCAGAAGGGGGACACCCTACGAAGGATACTTTCATTTTGTTCTGGTCGTTCCTTCGAAGACCCTGAAAGTGTGGTGCTTCCTCGCAACGGCAGTCGGCCCATTCCCGAGCTGAGGACATACACCGGCTACCGCTGTAGCGACTGCGGTCATTTAACCATGGGCCGTTCCAACATGAGCACGCACTGGACCGCAGCCAAGCATGTCGCGAAAAGCGAAAATTGCGACAGATGGCCCAGAGTACTGTTGCAGTCGTTCGGGAAGGGCAATCGCCTCGCGAGATATTGGGTCGTATCGGAAGAAGAGTGAAAGACTTCCGCGAGGACCTCGGACCCCACCGGCCCCGGTTCGCGATAGCCTTTATCGACCCACGGCAGCTTGCCCGACCTGGACGAGCTGGTCAAACGCTCTCTTCCGGGATGATTAATGGTGTTGCCACTGTCCCAAGCAGCAATTAGCAATGTAGAACAAATCATCCGCCGTGGGGGCTTACAAGTTGTGTCCTCAGGGGCCAGGCCTATGACTTGCACCTTCCTCTCCATGAATAGGTAGTACATGTGGCAGTAGCCGCGCGGAGAATGACGATTGCCTGTTAGACGTTCGGGGTTAAGCCAATGTACCGTGACTGTCATAATACCGGTACTTGGGGAAGGGTTACCCTGTCTCGTCTTGGGCCTGGTGCGGGTACGGTATGCTCTCCAGACGACGATAAATGCCGATGGGCAGGTGACAATAAGAGTGAGGATAGCGATCAGAGCTTCCACGGATAATGCCATTGTGGTACTGAGTTATGTAGTCAAAGGCGCTGGTAATTCAGGAGATTCGTCGCATTGAGGAATGGTTTAAATACACGGGTGCATACTTGCGAGGCCTCGTCCGCATAACCAATCTCACCCTTCGCCTATGCATTGCACGACTTTGAATAGATGTCGGCGCCACAACGCTACGAGATTCTGGCAAAAGCGAATCGGGACTCTTCGTTTGTTGGCCATGCTGGGGCGAGGTCGCGATTGTGGCTAGTGATGCGGGAAGATTTTGGCAAGGTCGGCGATCCTCCCACCATGTGGCTGAGTGTGCGCGCAGGTTTTGGGACCGGCCAATGAAGAGGAGGACGCAGGTGCCGCCCAACTAGAGTGAGGCTGAGTGTGCGTCGCAGATTTTGGGACCGGCCAAGGCGACAGCTGCCGCTTGGTCGCCGAGGCGGTCGCTTGGCGCCGCGTGCCTGCACTGCTCCTCGAACCCCACTCAAGAGCGGCGGACACAAATACTTGATCTCACCCGCGGATTGAGGACGGTCAAACTTCCTTCCAACCTTCTCATTCTGTGTGCAACTCAAGATGCCCGCTTACCCCATCGAAGATGACTGGAAGTCCCATCAGGCCACCATTCGGTCCCTGTACCTTACAGAGAATAGAACGCTCGAAGGACCGGATGGCCTGATACATGAAATGACCGCAAAACACGGGTTCACTGCCACGTACAGCACTACTCTTCCAAGCGCCCTCTTCACACCCGCTAACGACACGTCTTAAGGAAAGCTCAATACGAAAAGCATTTCAAGAAGTGGGGTTTCCGCAAGAACAAGAAAAAGGATGTCTGGGAAGCCGTTGCACGTAAGGTTACAAAAAGGAAGAGAGACGACAAAGAGAGTGAGGTGAGGATCGGCGGCGAGGTTGTTCCTGCCAAGAAAATAAGGAAGGAGCTCTCGCGCCACGGCTACGATGCAACGTTTCCGTATTGGTCTCAAGATGGTAACGCCTCCAACTATTTCCGCTTCCTATGCGTATGCTTACATCCTCAAGCGCCAACCCCAGCGACCCCGGAAGGGGTCGTGGTCTGCACACCGCCGCACTTACAAGCCGATCCGCTTTTTAACCAGCTCCCTTGGATTCGGGTTTTAGACGTGACTGAACCCACTGGTTCGTACACGGGCGTCCACGGCCGAGGGCATCTTTGGCTGACATCATAGTAGCAAGCTCCTACGCAGACCTATTCGTTGCTACCGACCGGTTCGGTTCATATACTAGCAACGGGGTTCAGTCGAATACCGAAAGTCACCAAATACTGGAAAAGCTGGTCCTACAGAGTGGGGCTACTACAATGGCCCCTGCAAGTCGATCAAGGACAACCGGCCACAATCATGATCGTCTGCGGGCCCTTCTCCACAGAGTTTACGATATGGACTCAATGACGGGCTTGTCGGGCCAGCAAGGTCTCATAACGGTGGACAAGGCCGTTCAAAATATCAGCATTGCGACATATTTACTGACGAACAATATGCTGAACACAGAACAAGTGGAGTCCTTGATAGCCAACTTGTTCCAAGGTGGGAGAGGTGTGCAGCTTCACAGGTCTCTCCTATCAACAAAAGGACCGATATTTGAAGCGTTTGCAGAAAAGCTTTTCCTGCACGCCACAATGTGTGGTAGTGCTGAAGTCGTGAAGGAGTGCCTTCATTTGGGGACTGACCCGAATTCAAGGTTCCCATGCCAAATGGCTGTTTACTTTGGCCTGGGGGGGACCCTGAGAACAACAACTACGACCCGACGCGGATATCCACTACCGACGCCGACGCCCCGTCGGCGACAACGCAAGGGAGAACAGCCCTCCAAACGGCTACTGGGAACGGTAATAGCGAACTTGTTCATCTTCTTCTCGGTGCCGGTGTAGACGTAAACGCCCCGGCAGCGGAGAAGTACGGAGTCACAGCTCTCCAAGCGGCGGCTGCGAACGGTGATATTGGGCTGGTTCAGGTACTCCTGAATTCTGACGCAGCTGTCAACGCCCCGCCGGCGTGCGAATATGGAAGAACAGCACTCCAAGCGGCAGCTGAGGCAGGTAGCATCGAGACGGTTCGGATTCTTCTGGGTGCTGGTGCAGATGTCAACGCTCCGCCAGCGCAAACACGCGGGAGAACAGCCCTCCAAGTGGCAGCCGAGAACGGTAATATCGAGCTAGTTCAAATTCTACTGCATGCCTGTGCAGAGGTCAACGCCCCGCCAGCAGAGCGAAACGGCGTAACCGCTCTCGAAGCCGCGGCTGAGAACGGTAATATCAAGCTTGTTCAAATTCTCCTCGCTGCCGGTGCAGACGTCAGCACCCCGCCAGCAGGGGGATACGGCGGGACCGCTGTCGAAACTGCGGCTGAGAACGGTAATATTGAGCTTGTTCGAGTTCTCCTTGGCGCCGGTGCGGACGTCAGCGCCCTGTCGGACAACCCGCATGCAACAACTGTCGCCCAACTGAAAGCGGAGCCACACGGAATAGCCGCTCTTGAAGCTGCAGCCAGGGCCGATAACATCGAGCTGGTTCAGACTCTACTGCATGACGGCGCCGACGTCAACGCACCGTCAGCGGTGCCATTCAGAGGAACCGCTCTCGAAGCCGCAGCCCAGAACGGCAATGCGGAGCTGGTTCAGATTCTACTTCATGCTGGCGCAGAGGTCAACACCTCGGGGCGAGACGGCGGCACTGCTCTCAAAGCGGCAGCTGAGAACGGTAATATTGAGGTGGCTCGGATTCTACTTAATGCCGGCGCGGACGTCAACGCCCGCACTGGGCCACTCAAAAGCGCCGCTCTCGAAGTGGCGGCCACGCACGGTAATATCGAGCTAGCACGGATTCTACTTGATGCAGGTGCAAAGATCCATCCCCATCCAAGGTATTTAAGTTTCGATAGCGCCGTCCTCCAAGCGGCGATATCGAGCGGTAGTGTTGAGCTGGTTCGGATGCTTCTTCATGCTGGTGCGGCCGTCGACGCCCCACCCAGGCCGGGCGGCCGCACGGCTCTGCAAGCAGCAGCCAGAGACGGCAATACCGATCTTGTTGATATTCTCCTCGGTGCCGGCGCAAACGTCAACGCCCCAGTAGCGGAGAAGTACGGACTAACCGCTCTGCAAGAGGCAGCCAGAAACGGCAATACCGATCTTGTTGATATTCTCCTCGGTGCCGGCGCAGCTGTCAACGCCCCGCCTGCGCGTGAATACGGAAGAACAGCACTCCAAGCGGCGGCTGAGGCCGGTAGCATCGAGACGGTTCAGATTCTTCTGGGAGCCGGTGCAGACGTCAACGCCCCAGCCGCGATTTTTGCTGGAGTGACGTCGCTTCGGGCCGCTGCTCTCGGTGGTTATGTTGGAATTGCTAGGATACTTCTCGATGCTGGGGCTACCCCAATCAGCAGCAGGGCCTCGGAGTATGGAAGAACTGCCTTAGAGGGAGCTGCAAAGCATGGGCGGATCGATATGGTGCAGTTGCTGCTCCATGCTGGTGCCAACCTTCACGACCCAGGCGGCTGTCATCACAAAAACGCACTCCGGTTGGCCTTAGATAGCGGACACAATGCCGTAGGAAGGCTGATCGAGGCCCATTACAACAGACGCATGGTAGAGTGGCAGGGGTGACACGCCTAACGCGAGCCAGGACGATGACGATGACTATTACGAAGGCGTCGACAAACACGAGGCCCGATTTGCCGCCTCAAACGGTTTCCAGAGGCGCACCGGGAGTGGCTCACGAGCGTTCGAGAGGGTCCTGCACCAAATGTCCGGCATCCGAGGGCCGTCCGACGCGCTCGGTCCGTGGCTGTGGAAGTCGGCGGCAAAGGGGATGTGGGACACGGAGCGGCTTACGCGCCATCTCGCGGTCGTGACGGGCAAGGATCTCGGCGTACGGCTGACGGTGGCGAGCTACCGACACGTCGCCATCGAGCTCGGCCGCCGCATCAAGGGGTTGATCATCCGCCAGGTCGAGATGGACGCCGTCGGCGCTGGCGGGGATCATCTGGACGACGGGTACGACCCGTTCTCGGGCGAGGTGCGCCGAGTACCGCAGTTCGACTACGTCTGGGACATACAGTCCACGCACAGCAGCGCCATGGCCCGGGGCCACTACGCCGTGAATCTGCTGTTCCCGGGCCAGCTTCAGCCGGAGATGGTGTCAAGCTTCCAGGAGATCAGCCGGCTGTGGCACGGGTTTCTGAGCCGCACCGACGGCGACTTTGCGGATCGCAAGCGGCGCACCGACGATGCCGGTGCTGCCGCAACGCCGGCGGCGAAGCGTCGTCAGGCGGATGTGACCACCGTCGGCAGCAAGCGACGGGCACAAGAGCCGGCCCGACGGGCGACACTGGTCAACGGCAAGGTCGAGGGCGACGGCAGCGACGAGGACGACGACGACGGCGACACTGAGACTGCTGCAGGGAATAGCGCTTTCACGGAGGCGCAGATCGACGCGGGCTTGAAGCGCATGCTGGGCGAGGATGCGACGTGGAAGTCGGACGAGCAGCGCCAGGGCATGTATCAGATTGCGTCGATGGAGAACAACGGCGTCCGCAGCGACATGACGATCGTCGTGTTGCCCACCGGCGGCGGCAAAAGCGTCTTCTTCTTCTTGCCGGCGTTCATGGAGGACGAGCGCGGGCTCGGCGGCCCGGTCAGCATCGTCGTCGTGCCGTTCGTTGCTCTGTCGGCCGATCTGGTCAAGCGAGCCGAGGAGCTCCGCATCGACTGCATGAAGTGGGACAGCGACGTACACGACGGCGACCGGGAGGAGCGTCAGCGCGACGCGCGCTTGGTCGTCGTGAGCGCCGACGTCGCCGTCAGCGAAGGGTTCACGTCGTACGTCGAGAGCATCCGGGCACGAGGCTTGCTGTCGCGCATCTTCTTCGACGAGTGTCACACGTTCGTTACGGACGTCGGATACCGGGAGCGTCTCGGGCTACTGGTCGGCTTGCACCGATACGGCTGCCCGCTCGTCATGCTCACGGCGACGCTGCCGGTGGACATGGAGAAGCATTTCCGGAAGAACATGCTGGCGAGGGATGCGGTTATTATCCGTGCCGCGACGACAAGGGTCAACATCCGCTACGCCGTCGAAAAGGTGCGCGTGGGGAAGACGAGCGTCGAAGACGGCGTTTTCAAGGTTGTCGAGCGCATCAGCTCGCGGATGACGGCATCGCAGCGCGGCGTCGTGTACTGCCGCTCGATCAAGGACTGCAAGGCAATAGCCGCCCGGCTGGGCTGCCGCATGCATCACGGCGAGATGAAGCCCGACTCTCAACGGGAGGCCGCCCGGAAGGACTGGGTGGACGGCCGAAATGGGCACCGCTGGATCGTCGCGACGACCGGGCTCGGAACGGGGATCGATGTGCAGGGCATCGTCGGCGTCGTGCACGCGGGACCGCCGTACGGACTAGTCGACTTCGCACAGCAGACGGGCCGGGGCGGACGACGCAGGGGCGAGATTGTCGACTCTGTCATCGTCACCGATGGCCGGCCGGGCTGGGTCGATGAGTACGGAAGCGATATCGACCACGAGAACCGAGCGGCCGCCCAGCACTTCATCGACAACCCCGGCTGCCGCCGCGTCACGCTCGTGAAAGTTATGGATGGGGTCGGGCGCCGCTGCGAAGAGCTCGGGGCAGAAAAATGCGACCGCTGCGCGGCCGATTCCGAACGACAACGGCAGCGCGAGGAGGAGCAGGAACGACAGAACGGGCTGGTGAACCGCTTGCGAGAGCACGTGCAGGACGAGAGCACGCGGCTGGGCGAGCTATACAAGTGGCTCGAGGAGATTCAAGCGGTGGGCTGCTCCGCATGCTACGTCCGCTGGCAGATGCGCGGGGCCCCGGAGGACGAGCGTGAGGCTGCAATGCGGCGGGGGTTTGTCGTTGTATGCGTTGGACTTAGTGAAATTCACTTGCACACAAGCCACAAGCCACTTTCTGGACGTCAGACGCCAACGCAACGGCCCGGGACACTGAGCCCAGGCCCAGTGACCGATGAGTTCCATCCACCAGTAGGCACTTGCCTGGCCTGGCCCGGCTCTCCTGCCCACGTCCTGGCATTATGTACCCGAGTGAGAGCTGGCTGTAACCTAGGTTTGAAGGTGGGTCCCGTCCTTGGTTGGAGTCCGCGAGTAGTCCGCGTATAAGCCCATGCAGTCGCCTGTCTATGCCAGACAGTGTGTCTCGGGTTTGAATGCCCTTTACCTTAACCTTAGCGGTTGGCGCCGCTCCCGTGTAAGTCTTGTCATTGAGGTCGGCTCAGGCCAAGCTGGCTTGAGGAGCTCAAAAGTCCGCTTCCCATCGCGGACATATCAGAAAGTCGTGCTGGCGTCACCGTGCCTCTGCGGTGGCCGATCAGACGCGAGTCTTGGGCCGACGCCGATGTCACGAACACGCCACAGAGTGGCGGTTGGCCGTTCGTGCGAACGGCGTCGAAGAAGCAGTGGCGATGCAAGCGAACGTGGACGTTCCGCAGTACAGCACAACGAGTGTGTATGGCGGGACGAAGAATCGAAGCAGACCAAAAGCTGGGGCTGATCGCGTCTTTATTATGAGCGTCTCAAAAGGGAATGGCCCACATGGGCAGCTGAACGGCGCGAGGTTGACAATTTGCTTTTTCGATGTCGCGCGAAAGTGGTCAGCAGCGGCCCCTGCGTCAGGCCCTACGTACAGGCCTGCGTGCGGTCGTTTGCAATCGTCGCGGCGTCGCAGAGGCCGAAAGAATTCTTCCCTCGCCAAGCCGTGTGCTGGCGGAGGCCCACGACGCACGACACCATACCCGCACGCTCATCCCGCCAGAACGCGGCAGAGGCAGGCAAGCGGGGACGTGATTAGAGCGGGGAGAAAACCCCTGCGAAGAAGGCCGTCCGGAGGCACTTCGAAGGGACTGAAACTACGTTATCGATACCGTTGATGGTGGATGTCTTGGAGATTACTCCCTCGCATCTCTCCTTCCCCAGTCGCGAAAAGTAACAAACCACCATCCAGCATTTCATCGGCTCTGAGGCGCTCCACCATTTTGTGCTCGGTGCCCGTCCAAGCGCGGCATCATCTGCTATTCTTTAGGTCTCGAAGGGAACAGTCGTCGGAGGCTGCGAGAGCAGCCTCAATTGACCCGGGCTGGCAAAGAGTGATGCAACACCCTCCGCCTAGACGGGTCACAGAGTGAGAAGTGACAAAAGAAAGAAAGGGAGCGAGCACCGTCCGCCTAGTGGCGAGGACACGACCATTCGAAGAACGAGCTTGCCTTCGCCAGCTTGACGAACTTGTTGAAGTCTCTGCCTATTGCACGATTGACTGCCGCAGTCGGTGAGGGTGCCAGCCTCACACGATGCCGCGGCAGGATCTTTCAGCAGTAGAAAAGAAGATTTGGCTCTTTTATCGGCCACATGAGCATGAAAGCCGCGCATTGTCGTGGTTGAATCTCTCGTGGTAGTTGGCGAGGAGAACTCGGTGGATGGGCAGGCCGACCAGGAACGGGTTGGGGTAGGCGGCGAGGGGGCCTTGGACGCCGAAAGTGGCCTTCCGACCGACACGGCGAGCCAGACGGTCCATGAGGTGACATCCTCCGGTATGTTCGCGCTGGACGGCGTGCCCGAGGTGGCGGACGTCGAAAAGCTCCGCTTCGCCTGGCAGGCTGTTGGCGGCGCCGGCGCTAGCGGACGTGCAGGTCCCAAAGCTGCGGTGCTCACGACGGGGGAAGGGGCGTGTGAGCAGGGTGAGGGACGCGAAGCGTTCATCCGCGTCTCACGGGGTGATGACTTCGCCGACTCTTCTGAGTCCACCTTCTTCTCCAAGACGTTTCCGACCTTGTTCCCTCTTGGTGTCGGAGGGCCACGGCTGGCGGAGGAGGCTATGCTCGAGGCAGCAGACGCAGCGGCTGCCGGTGCGACGATTTCCCGTGGTAGAGGGCCGGAGGCAGAAGCAGCGGGCGGAGCCCTCGTGGCCTCCCGGAACCTGAATCTCCGCACATGGGCTGACATTCTGCTCCGTCGCCACGGCGGGCGCTTCGCGACGCACCACGTCTTCGCGTTCCTAGTATTCAACATGGGCGTGCGGTCCAGGAACCGGCGTGTTAGCATGCTGAGCGTGGCACGCAAGAATTTTCGCAACACCGAGCGCATAGTGCGTTCAATGACGACCGAGAGGTTAGCGGCGGCAAGCATGGAATTGGAGAGTTCCGGCAGAACTAGCGACAGCGGCGTTAAGGAGCTGCTCAGGAGCCTGTCGCTTTATGGGCACCGGCAGCCCATGTCGAGGGAGGTCCGTCTGAACATGCGGCGAAAGATCCAATCGCTCATTGTCGGCTATGGTGTGCCGGCCATCTGGTTCACACTGAACCCAAACGATATCACGAACCCGGTGAAGCTGCGGCTGGCAGCGTACCGCGCACGCGATCCCGACGAGGCCGAGGCGTTCCTGGCAGGTATGGGCAATGCATACAAGCGAACACGGCTGGCCATCTCCGACCCCATGAGCTCTGCTATTTTGTTCCATCGGGAAATGAGTTTATTCTTCGAGAAGTACGTCAACGTCGGGGAGGAATCGGTGTTCGGACGGATAAGCCAATACTTCGGCGCCGTGGAGACAAACGAGCGAGGAGCGCTCCATATCCACGGTCTGCTGTGGTTGCACGGCAATGCGCAACTGGCATCCGCGCTCGCCGACACTCACGGGGAGGACCAGTCGGCGTATCGTGAGCGAATCATTCGTTACGTCGACAGTGTTTTCTCCGAGGTAGGGGGCGACGGCGCGCGCAGCATTCGGCCGCGCGCGATGTCCTGGGCGTCCGGCGAGGAAGAGGCTAACACGGGATGCAGGACCTCGACGCGGAAGGGTTTTGCGCCATTCAGGCGGAGCGATCAGCTGTCTCGGACATCTCCACCAGGTTGGAAGACATGGAGCAATTCTCGTCGGCTTTCGATGAAGAGGCGAATTTCTGTGCCGGCGCGACGCAGATCCACACGCATAGCGCGACCTGCGTCAAGTACTCTCTGAGCAAACCAATGCGAAAAGGTAGCCTGTGCCGGTTCAGAGCACCCTGGAAACTAGTCGAGAAGACGGCCTTCACGGAGGAAGGGGTGCTGAAGATTCGCAGGACGCACCCTCTGGTCAACCGATGGAATAAGGCCATTGCCGTGGGGCTGCGACACAACCACGACATTTCGTTCATAGCGACGCAGCAGAAGACCATGGCACTCATCTACTACGTGAGCAACTATTCGACCAAGGTCGAAGACCCGATATGGAAGAGGGCGGTGACGGCAGCGGAGCTCCTCCCCGCGAGCGCCGGTGATGGAAGCATGACTGGGGAAGGAGACGGGGCCGAGGAGGACCACAGGCCAATCGAAGGCGCGAATGAAAATAGAACCCGACAGTTCCTGAAGAAGGTGGCGAACCGCGTGTTCACCGAGCGGCCGTTATCACAGGTCGAAGTTATTGCGTACCTCCTCGGTTATCCGGCGGAATTCTCCAACACGAGTGCCTGGGCGTATCTGAACACTTCGCTGCTCTACTGGCACATTTTCCGACGGTGGCGGCATCTCCGGGAGAGCAGCGGTGCAGCCGTCGCCGACAACGCCGTAGACGAGTCGATCGTAGTCGAGGAAGCAGGCCACAGGCTCGGCCATGTCGAGGCCTACCAGCACCGCGGCGAGCACTTGCGAGATTTATGCCTGTACGACTATGTCTCGATCGTGCGGTTGAAGCGGCGCAGCAGCAGCAGCGAGGGGGCCGCTGCCGCCTGGGGCGAGGTGCCCTTTCAGGACTCGTGGCCGCCAGGGAAGGGTTGGATGCAGGCGCTTAGGCGCCCGGGCAAGCAGGCGACAGTGTGCCTCGACGGATATTTGAGCAAGGACTTTAGCAAGGCCGAGGAGGACGAGGGATGTTATGGAAGGTACGTACGAGGGCACAGCACGCTTGCCCGGCTAAGGCAGGCGAGGCGGCGACGGACGACGGCTAATGCCCGGTGCAGGGCAGCGGTACAGCATCTTGCGCTCTTCGTGCCGTGGGAGAAGTTCTTATGTGAAGAGGCGGGCGACATCAACGATGTCTGGATGCGGGCATGGGGCTTCCCCGAGAATATCCTGTCTCGTCGAAAATGTGCAGCTGCTGCGGCGATCCGCCGAGGACGCAAAACGCGACGCGAAACAGTGGGCGGCCTCAGCCGGAGATGGTGACGCCATGGTCTCGCATATGGAGGAGGGCGAAGCGGGCGCGGCGACTGCCGGAGCTTACGAACCCAGCAAGATCGGCGACGCAACGCGGCTCATGGATGTGGTTCGCAATGCCCTGGGTCACGGCCAGGTGACTGCCGGGTCGGCGGAGTTAGGAGCAATGATGCGGCAGCTCTGCCGGTTCCAGCAATCGGCACTCAACTCCACAGCCGAGCTCGAGGCCACCGCGGTATCGGAAAGGGGGCTTCGACAGATAGCGTTGCCGGGCCATGCATTCTCCGGCGCCACGGTACCGTCGCAGGACCAAGTAAAGGCCATCAAGGCGCAACAGACGAGTGCCTCGAGGGAGAGGGAGAGGATGATCCAGGGCATACAGTGCGCGTCCGCTGCCGCTGAGAGCGACCGCCGTGCCGCGCTGCGGGCCGTGATGAGCGGTTTCGGGGAGGACGACATCGAAGTTTCTGCGGCCGAGCTGGACGAGATCGAGGGCCGGCAGGCGGAAGGCCACGCCGGCGCGGAGATGCAGGTGCAGTTCGGCCCGTCGGCGTCCTTCCTCGCCGCGGGCAAGGAATGGGCGAGGCGGCTGACGCTCAACGAGAAACAGTCGATCGCCTTCCTGATAGTCTGCCGTCAGCTCGACCTTTTGCGGGATGGCAGGGCAGTCGATGCCGATCAGCTGTGCCAGTACGTCGGCGGCGAAGGCGGGACCGGGAAGTCGCGCGTGATCGAAGCACTGGTGGGCTTGTTCGCCGCGAGGGGCATATCAAACCGTCTCCTCATCACGGCCACGTCTGGCGCGGCCGCGGCGAGGATCAGCGGCATTACGATACACTCCGCCTGCGGGTTCAGTAAAGACCAGGGAAGCTGGGGCGGAAACGCGTCGAGAGACATCGACGGGGTGCGCCTGCCGAAGCAAGGCGAGCGATTTGTTTCCGGTCAGTCCCGGATGGACTGGCAGGAAAAGGATATCCTCGTCGTCGACGAGGTGAGCATGCTCGGAGCACGGACGCTGCACGCGGTCAACGAGCAGCTCTGCCGGCTTCGGGGCTCACAGCGGGACTTTGGGGGCATCCCGATCGTGCTCTTCTGCGGGGACTTCCATCAATTCCGGCCGGTGCAGGAACGGTCGATCTTGCTGCCGAGCACGGCCATCTCGTGGGACGTGGACAGCTCATTCAAGGCCGAGCAGCGGCACCAGCATGACAAGGCGCACGCGCTGTGGAGGAGGTTCACAACGGTCATCATGCTGGACGAGCAAATGCGAGCGGCCGGGGACGCGGAGCTGCAGAGGCTGCTGACGCGAATCCGGCGGGGCGAACAGGACCACATAGACTTGGACTTCCTCAACGCAAGGTGCTACCACGAGGGCAGACGCATCCCGTGGGAAACGGGCATCACGGTGGTGACGCCGCTGAATAGAAACCGCTGGAACCTCAACATGGAGGCAAGCGTTGCGTTTCAGGCTCAGCAACGGTCGATGATGCGCATCTTCATCTCGGAGCACAAGTGGAAGGACGGCGTGCCGACGGAGGAGGAGGCCATCATGATACTAACTCAGGGAGACGACAGTGCGATACCGGTGCCGGCGGTCTTCATGTTCGTGTCGGGGATGCCGGTCGTCGTGAACCAGAACACGTATCAGGGCCTCAGAGAGTTGAAGCTCTGAACTAGGAGAACAAGTGATGATGCTTCAATCTATCTACTGCAGCAGGAACAAGCTACTTATAGCTGTGACTGCTGTCTCCCTACTGCCTAACGCCACTGACTGCCTGCCAGGCAGTCTCCTCGGTGGCGTTCCTGCCTAGCAGGCAGTCAACAGTGACTGGGATCCAACTCTCCCCCTGTGCCACGGACCCGAAGGTCCGTGGCACCCCCAATGGATCCCAAGCTGTCTCTTCCTTGAGCTTCATTAAGTGAGCTGGGACCTTCCTTCTCCAAACCACATTTTCCCGCTTCTCCCCCTGACAGAAGATTCAGCCTATTCACCAAACCCTCATGCGTGGTCTTTGGCAAGGCTTTGGTGAACGCGTCAGCCAGGTTGTCCTTCGTGTCGACACGTTGAGTGTTGATAATTCCTTCGTCTACCTTCTCACGAATGAAATGGTGTTTGACATCGATATGTTTTGACCTGCTGTGAAACTCGGGATTTCGAGTAAGTTTCAGGGCTGAGTTGCTGTCGATGTATAACGGGACTGTATCGATGTGGACCCCGGGAATGCGAAGATCGTTGATAAAATTGCGAATCCACACGGCTTCTTTTGCAGCCTCTGCACCTGCAATGTATTCTGCATCCATAGTTGATGTAGCCACCGTCTTTTGTCTCTGCGACGACCAGGACACAGGGCCACCGGCGAGTGTAAAAACCCACCCAGTTGTCGACCTCCGTGAGTCTTCACAACCGGCAAAGTCGCTGTCCACGAACCCCGTAAGATGAAGGCCGTGTTTCCCTGAATAAACAATTCCTTTGCCCGGATCGTTTTTGAGGTATGCAAAGATGTGATCCACAGCATCCATATGTTTCTGATTCGGATTGGATGCATATCGAGCCACGTAACCTGTAGCAAAGGAAATGTCCGGTCTTGTTTGGTTGCTGGCAAAGTTGAGCGACCCAACTTTGGACTGATACACTGTGCGGAATTTGGGATGAGCGTTGTAGTCACCCTGTTTGATGAGCTTGATATCTTTTTCAAGGGGTGTTTTGACCGGTGCAGCTTGGCTGAAACCGTACTTGGCAACAATCTGGTCGATGTATTGCTTTTGGTGGATGCGAATTTCTCCGGGCTTCTGCTCGACGTGCATTCCCAAATACCAGGAGCATTCACCTTCGTCGGTCATAGGGAATGTTCGTGAGATCTGGGCCTTGAAGTCAAGGATCGCGTTGATGTCCCTGCCCATCACGTTGATGTCATCCACATGGACTTCGAGTATGAGTCCGTTGCTGTCATTGGTAAAGACACATGGGTCGTAGGCTGACATGCGCCAACCCCAACTAGTCAGAGTGCTCCGAAGTTTCTGATACCACGCACGAGGTGATTGCTTCAACCCGTAAAGGGCTTTGATAAGCATAAGACAGAATCCATTGGGTAATTTGATGTCTTTCGGGGCCTTCATGTAGACTGGCTTATCGGTGGCGCCCGCAATTGCGTCGTAATTCGCTTAGACCACGTGACCACTTATCGCCCGCAAAACCGCGTCCCAGAAATCGTGTGAAATCGTGTGCGCGACGCCTGATAAGTGCATTTGATAAGTTCCCGCCCGACTTATCGGCCTTTTCCACCAGCCTCGCGCCGAAGGCCAGCAAACCTGTCACACTGGAAGGCCTCGATCGACCGACATGGCCGCGGACGACCCGTACACGGCGGCGGACGAGCGCGCCCGTGCCGCCCGGAGGGCGGGCATCCAGGCGAAGAAGGACGAACAGCCGGCGAACACGGCGCGGAGTTACGCGGCGAAGCAGCGGGAGTGGAAGGCGCGTCCTCCAGGCTGGCCCTCCACTTCCATCCCTGTCTCGTAGGGCCTCCTGGGCGGCTAACGGACGAATACCCATAGGCCTGGTGCCATACGCCTCGGGCTGCGGCAGACGGCTCGCTCTACAGCTGGCCCGACGGCGAGCTCGTGACGCCGGACAAGCTGGCGGCGTGGCTCAAAGAGGATATCCTGTTACGACGCGTTGTGCCGCCGCAGAAGAAGAGGAAGCCGCGCGCGCGGGGTAAGCTTACGGGCAACGGCAACGGCGAGGCCGTACAGGTACGGCAGCAGCGCGAACAGGAGCAGCTCGAGGCCGCGGCCATGGCAGAGGCCGAAAGCTTGGCCGAAGCTTTGGACGTCCCCCTGGCCGAGGCTGCCGAGCTGCTCGCGGACGACCGCGAGGGCTACGTGCCACCCACGGGCCTCGCGACGACTGCAGTAGACCTTACCGTAGGGTCTTTGCTTACGAGGGGCACTATCGACGCCTATATCGCGGCCGTTATCGAGCTATGGAGGCTCCAGGTGGCTCACGGCAACGCGAATACGGAGAATCCCCGGGGCGCCGCCGTACGAGGTTTCCTTGAGCAACGGGGCCGGCAGCGGGGGAAGCACGACCGCGCCTCCTTTAAAGACCGTGGAACCGACGGGATCCAGGCCGGCTATTCCCCCGAGGAATGGCTCCGGATCCAGCATCTCCTTCTCAGTGGCGCCGCGTATACGCCGCAAAACCTCCGCACACGAGTCGACCTCCTCCTCGGCCACTACTACCTCTTACGGGGGGAGAACCGCCGTAAGATGGAGCTTGCAGACCTATCCCTGCTCGACTATCCGCCTTCGGAGGGCCCGACCCCCTGTGGTTGCCTGGTAAGCCTTTTACGGGACGGCAAGCTAAATAAGACGGCGAGGAAGGAGTTTATGGGCGCGCTCCGGCATAAGGACCCCTTATTCTGTACGCAAGGGGCCCTAGCACAGCTCTTCTTTTGGCGCTGGCACGTCGCCGGCGAACCAGCCCCGTCCTTCCGGCGCCGGAAGGACTGGTATCGGATCAAGGTCCTCGTCGGGCGGGACCGCGAGCAGGAGCTCTCGTACCCGACGCAGCTACAAGAGACCTGGCGTATCTTCGGCGCTGCCGGCCTTATCGCGTCCAAGAAGACGCATCTCCCGCGCAGGGTGGGCGCCCAGGACGCCGAGACTCACGGCACGTCGCTCGCCCAGATCTCGCAGGCCGGCCGCTGGAACCAGAGCGTGCTCTGCCAGGCATATCTTACGCACCTACCGCGGCAGTTCATGCGTATCGTCGCCGGCTTCTCGGCCTCGCCGGGGGACTACTTCCTCGCGCGTGCGGCTCACGAGCCCCCATACGTCTTACAAAAGCACCTGTGGCCGTGGATCGAGGAGTGGGAACCCCGCTTTGAGGCGCGCGCGCGCCGGCAATGCTGGGCAGAAGGCGGTCTCGACGACGACGACCTAGCCGCCGACGGCTTCCTTAAGCTTATGCGGCGCCTGCGTATAGTACTTCTGCAGGACCTTGCTGTCCTACAGCCCCGCTACCCGTCGCTACCGTTCTTCGCCTACGCCCCTTTTAACGGGCCCGAGTGGGACGTGTTCGCCGTCGCCGTGCGGTCCACCGCGGTAGGGGCTACGGAGCCAGTAAGCCTGCTCGTACGACGCGCGCTGCCGGAACTAAGCTGCGTCTTAGAGAGCACGCGGGAGGCCCTGTTACAGAATAGCCAGCGGCTCGCCATCCGGCTTGAGGCCCGGCTGGACGGGATTCAGGGCGGCCTCGATGCCCTCCTCCAGGGCCAGGTCCCTATCACCTTTACCGGCTACTTCGGAGCCGGTTCAGCAGCGGCGCTGGCGCCGACGCCGGCTCTGTCGACAGCACCTACCTTGAATCTCCATACAGCTCCGGCCCCGGCCCCGGCCC